TTGTGTGGCTGTAAGGTTAGAGATAAACTTTCTATCGCGGTAGTGATCAAGGGTCTTGAGAACGCCGTCCGAAAACGCGCTGAATTTTATGTCAACTCCATCGTTAGGGTCCTGCTGTCTAAAGAACGTTTTTAGGAAAGGAGATGGTGGTAGTGTCGCCGCTTCTTGATTTTTATCTCTATTTGATGTTTCTTGCTTGGCCTGATAGCGGAGTCGATCTTGAAGCTCATAAAGGTTGCATGCTATCCTACGCAGGGTCGTTTTAGAAATGGGCTGTGATGGTGCAAAACTTGGGCCCAATTCTAATAGCGAGCGCGCATTCTCAGGTATTGTTATGCCCCCAATCACGGTGACCCTAGATTTTCTTGGTGTAGTATCAACCCCATTTTGACTATTATCAGAAACGTAAGGAATTCGTTTGCGGTTGTTTCTAAGGAATTTATGTTTTAGAAGTTTATCAATTAAAGCGGTTATTGATTAGCTTTTTTGTCTATTTAGAATATTTCGGGCAAGCAGGCCTATCCGCCTAGGAGAACTGAACTTATAATGTATAACTTTTAAAACCGACCGTCATTTAACCTCGGTAGCGAAATACTCAAGTTGAATTTAAGTTGTTGAGTTTACACGAAATCAATAAATTAGTTTTATTCGGCTATCGTTTCGACGTCTTCGTCTTCATCAGAGCCGATGATCCTAGTCCGTGGTCCCAACAAGACGAGCAACTGTGGTCCATCGGCTCGGATCATCGGCTCTGATGAAGACGAAGACGGTGAGACGTTAGCCGAATAAATCTATTCATCAGCTTCGTGTAAGCCTAACAATTTAAGTAAATATATACATTATTTATCTTTGCACTACATGACGGAGTATCGCCTTATCATGTTTTGTTAACTTTATTTGTTTTTCGAGGCATCCATAAATATATATATGTTTCTATGATCACGGTGGTTTATATTTATTTCTGTTCTTTTATTAAAATTGGTCATATTTAAGGTCAACGTGGGTGGGCGTATACCCTTATCACAGACAAGGACATGGAAATGGCTGGGCACCTTGTGAGGAATTTGGAGAGTGTAAACCAAGAAGTGGGTACCTAAATCTTATGGTTGAAGTGCGGAACAAATGAGAGGCTTGAAGCAATGCACCAAGATTTCCATCGGTTTTCGCACAGGTGCCACAACCTTTGCTCTCTTTGGCAATGAAATCTGCGTGGTTCCGTTCTCAACGCCAAGGTAGTAGTGGTAGTGGTAGTAAACCAGCTCGTCTTGGACTTGGATACAAGCCAAAAGCTCGGCCAACGCCAGGCAGCGGAGGTGTAACCTTATTTTCTCTTTGAGCTGGTAGATATAGAATTCTGTGGAAGTGAAAGTGGGGGAATTTATATTGTTAAGGTAATCAACTTGACCCTTTGAAAGAGCATAAACCACGTGGAGCGACCAATTTATCCGTACGCGATGCTATCAGAGCAGCAACAAATTCGGAGTAAGTGGATAGAATAATCGTTGTTCTTTAAAATGAAAGGTGTTAGATCCTTAAATCTGAGTTTACGTAGCTCTTCTTGGAAATATTTGTTTATGCGTAGTAAATTTCTCTTTAGAGCAATCGGACCCGCTGGTGCAGCGCCAAATAGTAGACTACAAGCAATGAAGAATGCTTTTAAGGTTTGCAAACTTTTCACCATAGTGGGTTATGGATTTTACGTTTTCCCATATTCGCTTACGTCTATATTTGTGGTGACCCATGATTGATTGTTAAAATCGCCTCCCTTATGAAATCATTCATCTTTCAGCAGTCCTTCGCTGCGACATTTAAGCCCTCTGAACTCGACTCCTCTAGAATCAAAGCACAGGTTTGTGCACCGTATGGATGACGTTTTCTATCTTGTTAAGAACTTTACTTGTATAATCTTACCACATATTCTCATGTAAGATCCACAATTTAGCCTGTTTCTGACCCACGTCCAGAATGGAAGCGAAAAATTGATGAGATAAACGCACGACTCATGGCTGAAAATCTACAAGCAAAGCAGCAGGCACAGGCTACTAGTCCAAATCCTCCAAATCCAACTCCAGTGACTGAAGACGATGGGACTTCGTCTAAAAAGAAAAGCAGATGGCAATAGCCAATATCTGTGACAGTGTAGTTTGTTATGGCAATGTACACATGTATGCGAAGATGCATTTGAACATACTATTCCATCGTAAGCGTTTTTCTTGTCTCTATAAGACTAGGGATATGTCATTCTGTGCTATGTGGTTTATGTTTTTTCTTAACGTGTAGAACGCCAGCGATCCTCTAGAGTACAGCGGAATGGTACTGTAGTTGTTCATCTTCTCGCTGTCGCCAACATGGTTCTTTGTCTTCTGTATCCATTTAATTTTGATTTCTTTGTTATTCAATCTTCTTTTACTGCGTTCTTTAGATTTGTGAACAAGATGCAATGATGAACAATCCCTGTTTTGTCGATGCTGTTGGATCAGATGAGGAGGTGCATGTCTGCGTCACAGTACATTTCCCCTCTATCTGAATATTGCTTCACCAAACCGATTTTCACTTAAAGTCGGCTTGAACAGTTAGTATATTTCTTTAGACTATTTGGCTTCTGCGAGGTTGTACAGCATTCGTTCGGCTAACGTCTTGAGTCTTCGTCCTTTTCAAAGCCCACTAATCGGATTCGATGGTTCAGGGTTGTTCGTCCTAGCGGTTTGGGTCTTCGTATTAGCCACATGGGAATAAATCATCGTCAATCGGGAGGCAGTACCGGTCGACAAGCGTCCTGTGTAGAACGACACCGCCGAGTGAAGTCACTTCATTCGAGCGGTACTCTACTGAAGAGAATTCGATTCGATACGACTGCGAAGACCATCACGGGGAAGGTGAGGGACTACGAACCGTTGACTCGTATCATCGGCTCTGAAGTAGACGAGGACATCGAAACGCTGGCCGATTAAATTTTTGGTAACGACTCTGTGTAAGCTGAATACTTGCTTACTTATTTGATACTCGAACAGCCCGTCCTCACCGGTTGTGTGGGCTCCAGCATAATCTCCATTTTTCGGAGATTTGCTGGTTAAGCCATTGTGGTTCACTGGAATCCCGAAGTCAGCCTGGTCAAAGTCTGCCTCAGGTCACCACTACAGTGGCAGCCCTTGTAGGTCAGAGGGGTATTTGCCACCATGCGACTTTGGTATCAGTACGGTGCTGGATCCTGGTATTGGTTTACTCTTAGCTAGGCTTCCTGATGGAAACGCCAGACTCCTTCTCAGCTTGAGAGATCCTACCATGGGACGGATCTCCCACTGTACATCGCAGTCCGACACCCAGGACCACGATGGGGCGGGAAAGCGTTGGTAGAGTAAGCTGAATAACTTAGAAAGATGTGTTTTCTGAATAGTGTTAACAGTTGGTGATAACCTCACTGCTATAAAGTAGACAAAGGTTAGGAAGTAGATCGTTAGAGCTTAGTAGCGTTAACATCTCATCATTAGCACCTGTGTTCTACTATTTTCTTCATGGTAGTGTATGTGAGATCTCCGTGTGACGATCTAAGGTAGTTGTTAATAAATAACATCTGTTACTCTATTAAATTGGACCCATCCATTGCAGAAGATCGAGCAATATCGTTTGATCTCAACGTTTCCCTGGACCTTTTAGTCCACCATTTTCTCACGCAGAACATTTTCTGCAATGTATTTCCTACCAGTTCGTCAGCTTCCAATCACAAGTGTTGTGTTGTGAGTAGTCTGAGTAAGACGATATCGCACATCTTATAGTTTCGAGAAAGTTCTGCTTCTTGAATGAGATTGTTCGTCTTTCATGAGCCAGCTAGCTGTGAGGTTACGTAGTGCTTCCTTATACTGCAGGTAATAGGAGGTAAGGAACAGAACATAAGCGACCATGCTCTCTAAACAATGTTTAGTTCTCTCTAAAGCTGATCAAGCTACACATCATGTTCATATTCTGTTCATATTCTAACTTATTTGTACATGGTGAGCTAAAAGTGAACTTTTTCAACTTATTATTTACTGCCTAATCTTTTTAATTAAAAATAATCTTCTCTTCGTCTTCTACGCTTTAGACGTTAAACGTTCTGGTAGCATCAAGTGCTGGTCATTCGGCCAAATTAACTGGAAAGACGGTTCTGCTTCTTTTGTTTTCAAGAAAACTGTAACTGATATAGGAGTTATAACATCCCTTCCAATGGTTTACCGCCTCATCGTGGTTGGGAGGTGTTGCTGGGTGTCGGGCTGCGATGTACAGCAGTGGAATTCACCCCACCAACAGGATCTCCCAGGCTGGGAACGAGTCCGGCGTTTGCTTCAGGAAGCCTAGCTAAGAGTAAACCAATGCCAGGGTCTACCTTCGTCCTGGTGTCGCAGTCGCATGTCGCATGGTGGCAAACCTCCCTCTGCTCCACAAAGGTGGCGCCTGCTTGTGGTGGTGACGACCTGGGGCAGACTTTGGCCAGGCTGACCACCTCGGGATTCCAGGGAACCACAATGGCTTAACCAGCAAATCTCCGAAAAGTGGAGATTACGCTGTGGCGCGCACAACCAGTGAGGACAGGCTATATCCAAGTATCCAAGTAAGTAATGTATAACATCTAGTGGCTATGGAAGTAGTTCCCATTAAAACCGTTGACACTGTTAACAATCTAAAAACGTTCAGTCATAAGATATAAGGCGTACTAGTACACATGTGAGAATGACTCAATACTCGGTTCATCCGAACATTCTACTAGTAAATAAAAAATTGCTAAGCCTGTTAACTTCAGTAGGGTTTATGTTTCCTCCTCATTTTCGTATCAAACGATTCGTACCAAAAAGAAAACGTAAGGAAACTTTTCTGAGAAAAGCTAGGTGTAAATTCTCGGGCAACATATATCACAAAGGACTCATGCGCATGCCCATGAACTGCTAGGTGTCCAGAACTTTCTGGGAAATGATGTTTGATCCTGTTAAATGTGTGCGTTCACATTGAACTATAAGAACATGCAGAATGTGGAATAACAACGACGAGAGAGCGAATCCACGACGGAGTCCGGGGAGAGAAGTGGCGCTCGCGGAGGAGGAGCAGCCAGTCTGACAGGGCTGACTCTCCGCCGACGACGCACGTGTTTTCTTACCGCTCTCTTCGTTTTTTCTTTTTCTAGTGGTCATTCCACTATGTTCAAGTTCATCGTTATTGTTTTCATTCAAAGATCTGACGAAATATTTGTATAGCGATGTGAAAGAACGACCACCCACCAAGTAGCTGTTTTCTGGCTTTATAGTGATTTCAGAATGTCATCGGTTTAAAATTGCCTGTTATCGATTAAGTCGCTCGAACCTCAGCTGTTTTTCGTTGTTTTCATTGTTGTTTGATAATTATGTTGATTGATCGTAATGATTGCTGCATGTTGAAAAATTTAACTATTTGCTTAGGATTGAGTGGTACCACTGAATGGGGAATTTCAATCAGAATCCGTTCCCTCTCTTTTTTCCTTCATTATGGAAATCACTGTTTTAAATGTCACCGCTGAAATTAGCCTTTACTTTCATGCCCTTTACTTCACTTTATTCCTGATTTTAAGAATATATTACAGGAATTTTTGACATGGTCGACGCTTGCCGGATGTGGTTTCCAACAGGAAACTGAGTGAGTATGGTGTAGAAAGGTAAGAAATTATAAATTTCGTTTCTTTAACACCTTGGTTTTCCAATGTTTTTTTCTGTTGTTCGTCTTCACCATCATGAGAACAATTCGTTCTTCCATTTTCTCTCTGCTTCTCCGACCTTTTCGCACGTCCGTTTCCATGTGGGCGTTTTTTCATGCGCGTGAATAGCTATAAGTCAACTGAAGAATATCCGTAAAGGTCGACATTTTCTACAAACACCTTTACCTTCCCCATTTTTTGGCGCTTCCTGGGAAGGGGGTGTGTAGCGCAGTAGTCGGAGACGCCCTCCAATACATACATGGGATCGGTCCCCACGCTCATGGCCATCAAGCCTTACATCCTCCCAGAATGGGAAAATTGGTCCCCGATTTGTCTGGGAGGATAACAGCACTGGCTCGATACATCAATAGACCACCTCGAGTCATTGTAAAGGCCAGATATGCCTCCAACGATGATTAATCAAGTCGAATGCATGGTGCATCCCATCAGCGATTGTTCAACGCCGAGAGCTTTACCCTTCTATCCTTTATCCTAAGAAGTTAGCACTATAGTTTTTGTTGTATTGGTCACCATAATCAGATATTGCTAACGGTACTATATGAATAAATGACAGTGCAAGTTCTAAGTTTGATAAAATTATCACAATTTCGTGGTCATATGATTGGGCTCTCTCCATAAAAGTTGCTTTCTCTTAGTTCTTGCGAAATGTTCACTTCGTTTGCTTCATTCTTCAGTGCAGTTCTACTATCGTCGCTGTCCATCAAATGTCTTTAAAGTACTGAAGACGAAAAACAGAGTAATAAGCAAGTTAATGCGACTTAATGGGTTTCACGCAAACAGCAGCGACTGTAAAACAAAGTCGCAGTGAGGGAGCAGAATGATTTACGTGGAGGATGTCCACACTTGTATTTTCGTTTTTTTTTTTTGGTGGTTAGATTTTATAGAATTAGATTCGTTTCTGGTATAGGGTTTTTGAAAAGGACTACTTAGTTCTTGTATAGTAGTCATCTCCACTTTATGACTTATTGGAACTATAAACTTTCCGTTGTCAAAATTTAAGTGTCATTCGTCATCTTCGGTTCTTAAGTGGCGATGAACAGTGAAGGCTGAACGGCATCAGCAATTTTTTGGTCTTACCATTATCAATAATTCGTTTTACATTAGTACCCGATGAATTACATCATCTGTTCTTGGATGTGACTGCTAGAACTGTTTGCAATATCTGCCACGACCGACTTTCTATTAACCTCGGCATTGATCAAGTAATTTTTTTCGTATTTTTGTTGAGCAAACGCGAGGTGTTATTATTCTTTGTTCACGATTAAATTGACGTTTCGGCGGATTTCGCGTTCCTCAGAGCCTGCAAAGGTCAAGTTGATAGCAATCTACTCGGCCAGACGCCTCCATAACCAAACAAAGAAACTCCAAACCAAGATTTCAATCACTTTGAACACAGCTTTGCACAC